TTTAGAACTGCAGTAAGTTCTTCACTAGAACATGTATCTCAAGCTGCACTAGCAGTCTCCTACCAGATTTGGTTAAGTAGAGAAAGAAATATTAGCGGTCAAGGCGAGTATTGACGTACATTAGCAAGGGGACCCTGAAACCTATACTCAGATCACGAGTCCTGAGAATTAATCAGAATTTGCTCAGCTCAAGAGCTGATCAAGATCAGTGAATGCATGGAACGCTGAACATCGTCTCAATTATATTAGATTTTGGTATAAAAATATATATTCTGACGACAGTAATACATACCACTAATATCAAATAAGGTAATTAGAAGTATTGTCAAGTGTTACTGTAGTGGGATATATAACAAGTCATCAACTGGTTGAGCATATTTGAATCCAAAGCGGGAAGGAAGGAAGCGAGATAAACGCTGCACTCGTGTTCAGTTTAATTGTACTAAAAATAGTTAATTTTGTTTCGTGATGTTATTTTGACAATTACTAATGAAATATTGTTTTATCATTATATCAGAATAAATACAATAATAATAAAAATACTTCCTAATGAAAAATCAATCTCTTTGGAAACGTCTGTCAAGTAATTTGATGACTAACAAATATACTAATAATAATTAACACATGTGTGGGTATTTTTACTCAATAACACCTAAACAGTTTTCAATAAAATGTGGTGCAGTATAAGGCGTAATTATAATTGAGTCCAAGATTAACATACTTACATGATTTTCATTGTTCTAAATCTTGGGATCAAAGCAGGTTACAGCAAACCAATAATAATTTTCAAACGTTTCAAAGAGTCATAAAAATCCAGTTTACAGGTAAAAGGTGATCCTAAATAAACGCCTAAATATAAAAAGCGATCGGTACAGTGACCTAAGTCAACAGGCGAAACGTTTACTGAGGACAAATACTTGCACTAAGATATGGTAATGAACTTACTCGCTGTCGCAGATACGTATGTATTATGTATGTCCTACACTGATAACGCCTCTACGCGTCTACTGCGCAGTGATGTACCGAGATGTGTTTTTTTTTTATCAAACTGTCCGATAAGAGGTTTATGTTTTTTGGAAGTTTATATGTTCAATGAATTAGTGTAAAGGCTCGAATTCACCATGTGTTCAAAAGAATATGAACAAGCGTGATAAAGTAGGTATAACTTTTTACATGGGAATCCGATTTGATTATTTTATTGGATACTAGCTGTGCCCGCGGATTCACCCGCCTTAAATTTCAATAAAAAGATAGCCTATGTGTAATTCTGATGCATAAGCTATATTACTGTAAAGTTGCATTAATACCCGTTCTGTAGTTTTAGCGTGAAAGAATAACAAACAGCAACTCACAAACTTTCGTGTTAATAAGATTATACGAAAAATATTGAAATTGAATGCTACATATATTATTAAATAGTACATATATACATTTAATAATAAGTTTGCACCCCTAAGAGAAAAAGAATGTAAATTTCAAATAAATTAGTTTGAATGAAATATTGTAAATTTTTTCCACATTTTGAGGTGATATTATTTTTAACTTATATATAAATAACTTCAAGGTATATATACTTTATATTATAAAAAGGTTAGGTCAAAGTTATTCAGCTTTATTATAACAGTTAACAAATAAATAATATTAATTAATTTTGTACAGAGTTGACTAATTAAATTTAGTACCCATGTATTTATTTGTATAAAACAGGAAAATGACTAATTAAAGTTAAAGACTACATTAACTAATTGAATTCAAGTTTCTTAATAAAAAGAAGACTTGTCTGCATGGTTTGTTCGTACTTTGGTCGTCATGTTATATCCATAAAGTTGTTCATGTATATAGCAGACTATTGCCACTTTCTAACAAGTCACGTCAGTTTGTTCGTCATACCAGTTCCATAAAAATCTGAATATTAAGTTACAAAGAGAACTTTACAAGTAAATATTGCCAAAATAGTAATGTTGATAGTGAAAAATGTACAATTACTGTTCGAACAAAAATAATTAAAAAACCTAAAAGCATACCAAGTTTTGCGTGTAACTGTCAAATTTTCGAAATCATGTAATATTGTTCAACTAATTTAAGACCAATATAAAAGAAAAAAAAAGAATAAAAGGATTTATAGCGAATTAACATTATAAACTCAAAATATATTCGTATTTTCAATTTCAACGTAATGGACGTTGGTGCAATTGATGGTAAAAAGTAATGTGAAATATCAAAATAAAATATAAATATAAAGCAGTTTTAATATGCAAAGAAACAAAGAGCACAACAATATTAATTTTGTATAAAATGTACAGACAAAGAATTAAAATATAAAAATATACATCGTTCACAACACTGACAATGACAAATTCATACCTAATTTTAGTTGATGTTATTTCCTCAATGATTTCCGAATAAGTTGTAATTATTAATTGAAATATAATGATAGCCTGCGGTTTAACATATCTATTTACTTCCAATGGTCGCGGGTACGATTTCTCGCATGGTGCAAACATTTGTATATATGACTATGATTGTTTGTACTGGCAGTTTCTATGTATATTAAGTATATATTTATAATGCTCTAGTACCCATAACACAAGCTCTGCTTACCATGTGACTAGATGGGGCTGTGTTAATTGTCCAGGTTTGTTTATCATAACATAGTATAAAACAAAGTCAGTATCGCTGTCTGTTCCTATGTATGCTTAAATCGTTAAAACTAACGCAACGGATTTTTAAGTGGTTTTTTTAATAGATAGAGAGATTCAAGAGGAAGGTTTATATGTATAATACACGTATATATGTATGTACATGTAGCTAGTTTATTTATAATAGGATTGAATCGCAAGTCCAAGTTAGACTCAGTAAGAAAATGGATGTTTTAAATTGAAACTGTACTAAATATAACTTAAGAGAGATAGGTATTGTACCTCCGGATACAAGACATAAGTTTCAACTGCAGCCGTGAGAGTTCCAAATTAAACCGATAGATCACGTGGCCCGGCATACTCCTATATAGCTACCTACCTACTATTAAGTGGAATTTTGTATATAAATATAAAACACTTATATAATTAGTCATTCAGTATATGTAGCATTTGTGTAGTGGCATAGTGGTTTATTATCCCAATTTACTGCCAAAAGGTCATGTCTTCAAATCAAGCAGTCACAAAAAAAAGTTTTGATTGAGTTCTCGGTGTTTCTTTCACCGAAGAGTCAGTCAAAAATATACATTGACACACAAAGATTTGAACGTCATAGTAGTAAACCACTAGTATAATAGATTTGTACTGTTTTGTAAATAGTAATACAATTTACAAAAGGTTAAGGTTAAAGGTTAAACAGGGCCAACGACGTTCTCATTATATATATATTAATATTAAAAATACATATATTTTATTTACACTCGAATGTACTTACTACGTACTACTATAATAATACTACTACTTATTGTACGCTATGTATATGTTTCAATGTTCTCGCTACAAATAAAATTCAATAGACATATGGAGCACGCCGGTTCCGATAAGGGAAGTGGCCACTTGATAACGGGCGATGCATACTAACGGCGTGCTGATATTGTAGAGTGAATGCATTGTGTATGAAAAAAATCGTGTACAATCCCAGGGTCCCATGTTATCTATGATTTGTTATGTGGCTGGCAAAGGTGGAATGCCTTAAATGAAGATAAAAAACTCACCAATGTTTCATGTAAAGCGTATATTTGTCACAATTTTAATGGTAAAAGTAATAATTGTGTATAAAAACATGTCAAATAAAAGTAAATATATAAAAAGAGGTCTGTTGCCAATAATTAGTAATACTATTTCACTAGGTACTATATTATTGTACAAAATGTCATATTTCTGAATTTATATACCTAATAGTTTGATCATGAAGTACAATATTATCTAGTATGTAATAAAGTGTCTAAGTATATGTAACACCAAATATATGTATAATAATAATAATGGTTATTATGCAAATCAGATTTCCTTCCCAATACATGTCTTTTTATTATGGACTGATTAGTTAAATCAGTCCATGATGTCCATACAAGTTGGATTGAGATATTTTTATAGTAAGATATATATGGATGTAAATATTTAAAAACAAATAAAAATAGGGCATATCGAAGTGTAGTTATAGACATAGACAAGTTTACATGTTCAATTCTAAGTTATCCTAAAAATATTATAAATGTGAAATATCTGTCTGACTGTTAGTTAGAAGTGAAAAGCTTCAGTAGTAATGAACTTGAACGGATCATAATGTAATTTGACTTGAAGATAGTTAAACGAGGATGATGGAATTAGGATATCCTGTATATCATAAAAATGCAGACGAAGTCACGGGTAACGACTGTATTAAAATATAATTTCAATATTGTAGTTGATGAACTACCTGATTGACTAAATTTTGCGGTAATATTAAATAAAAGTTTATCAGATCATTATGTATGAAAAAACTAAATGCGGAAGATATGTAACCGCATCGTGATTTTTTTTTCTTCAGTATCTACTTTTAAGAGAAGGGTATTGTTAGAAAAGACCCTATTGTTAGCACTGGTATGTCAAGTTCACCTCCACACAACTTACCCCGGGATACCACCGTCATAAATTCTTGGTGAATTCGTCACGATGGGCTGACTGACCTGACCTTATGCTCATTTTGTTATACTCTACCGTCACCAGCGTATATCATTATTGCAAACGGATGTACAATTCCATTATCATGTATTAAAAATATCTTATTTAATAGCGAATCATCGCTAGTGATTAATTTCTTTTAATTATAACGTAACTAAAAATAATCCAAGTAATTACATAATTGTTGACCAAATCTGTGTAACGTACGAATCATACGGCCATTTGGCGCAAATTTATCAAACGTCGAACGGAAGCTTGGCGATGCGCGCATCTCAAACCGCATCCCGTTTCACTCCGTCCTCCAATCGCCTCCGACCTCCGACCAAGTGGATGGACCTCAGTACATACCGTGCCATACAATACATACCTCGGTACAGTCAGTCTGTCTCTGTATATCCGAACGTACGGACGTACGTCGCTGCGTCGTGGTTACTGCACGCGAGCTTTCGAATTTTACCTTCCTTACCTGTGGATTTTCAGTGACATGTGTTTTTAAAAAATATACGCTACTGTGATTTTATCTTGGATTGGCTCTGTATCTTCGTGGAGTGTATAGTTCCAGGGTAAACACATATTCAAGGTTGGTGTTATGTCTTACGAATAGTAATGTGATTCGATGCATTCGGAATGTCACGGAGCCGGTCTTTATGAAGTTCGCATAAAGTAAAGGATTCTTGCACAGTGGAATCTTAGTACACCTATTGGGTTCATTGACTGAATAACTGGCTTGTTTTTTTTATTAGTTTTTTGTTAGATCGGTGCGTACCGTGGAAGGTGGTTCTTCGTGTGGTCAATCACTGGACTTTACAAGAATAAGAGAGAGAGTCTTGAAGATAATTTTACTACTATGTCTAAATAAATTACCTCACTATTCTTTAATAGTTAAATCGTTATAAATTTATTATGATGTAGAAATAAATAGGGTGATGGTATCTACCATCAGCCTGCATTAAGGCTCATCTACGTACTTTAAATTAAACATAAATATTATTTGATACCTTAAAAAAATAATTTAATGATTGTCATAATTACTGATATCTATTTTTAACTAAGAAAAATTAAGTAGGTATACAACTATAATATATTTTTAGTAAATAAAAAGTATCGTATATATAACCTATATAGTCATAGTCTGATTAATAACATCATAATGTGTCCATGAAGTGTGCGTATTCTAATATCGTCTGCGGTCTCTACATTCTCTGCTCTGCCCCTACTTTCTTCTATATCGTAGAAAGAAAAAGCAATTTGACACCAGCCCTATACCTACTTACATCACTTCCGGCAGCATCACTTTTATTTACCCAATTCATAAAGATATGTATTTGACAAAATCTACTCTTAGTATTCACATTTAAATAATCTGTATGTGTGTATTGCATATATACTATATAGTTATTTTTATGGATGCTGAATATTTATTAATGTGTACCGGTTTTGTTGATGTACGCATTGTATGTGTTGGATACGGTACGTCTTAAAATTAAATGCTGTTTTATATTCATATATTCTTTTAGTGATTGTAAAACCTTCCATTACTTTTGCCGGTTTTCCTCATGTTTAATGAATAAGAATCAAGTAAAAATTAATCTAAATCTAACATATAGTTTAGGTATTATTAGATTATATATGAGTAGTAATCTATATCTATATGAGTAATAATCTTATCTTTTATCTGTGCCATTTATCGTAATGTGTATGGTTATGAAAAATGAAGTAATTGCTTTTCACATAGTATATTATTATTTGTTACAGTTATTTTATTTTTTTATAGGATCGTTTATTTTATCATACTAACAAATATTTGATTAAATTTGTTATACTTAACTAAATATAAGTTATAGTTAAATGCCTATTATTTATTACCTTGTAAGAATATTATTAATGTTGACACTCTATTCATATTGAATGATCATTGTGTATTACCTATGTAATTTATTGTTAGGAAGAGGTCTTTTTCAGGGTATATGATAAATATAAGCAAATGTTACCGAATTATATATTAGATTATTTTTAATTATTATTAAGAGCAATTATATATTAGATTATTTTTATTAAGTAAATAGCAATATAAAATAATAAATAAATAATATGGAAATAGGAAGAACCAATAGATTTTCTCAAATTATCGTCATTAGAAAGAACAAACAGATTCATAAAACTCACCAATTTTTGTCTGGTTCTATAAAAATATACTAAAAAGAGGAATTATCATTTTTCCTAAACAGTAAAAAATATTATTGACATAATACTTAAAAATATTTCAAACAAAATAAAACACTGTGATTTAGGTTAGGAAAAACTAAATAAGATTCGTATATATGCTTAATAAGAAAAATCTTGAAATAGGTAGATAAGGTAATAGAACGTAATAAAAACTGTTATAATAGAATACTTATCTGTTCTGGGTGTGGTATACATATTAAATGTATAATATATGAGAAGAAAAATATATTCGATTAATATTCTTAATAAATTTTATTAAGAATGTATAATATTGTTTGTTTCTGTAAATAGATAAAATTAATAGTATGCCGATAATAGGCATAATGACCCTATAGTTTCAGCGGGAACACAATTTATCTCAAGTCTCTAATAGTTTATTTATGAACTTGCATTCTTGTCTCGGAAATGTTTTGTTTTTGTTTAGTATCGTTAATCTATCACTACGTGTAGTAGGTATCCTCACTTGTCTATAAATATTAGATTATAGACCAGCTAATACCGCATGTTGTGAAACGAGTTGAATAATGCATATAAGTAAGTTCTACATATTATATATATCAGAACAAGTTTTCACCACTTCATACCAACTCTATTAACTTTAATAAGCATATATCTTTTAATCTTACATAACTTCAATGGGCGTACCATTTAGGTTAAATCTAAATAAACTAAGCCTTGCAAAATAAAAGATAGAAAGAATCACACGGGAGTCAGAATTAAGAACTAATTAATTTAATAATGCAACGATATGTACTCAAATTATTGTAGAATCCTATTTAGTAATGAAAGTTTTGCCCTGGATACACTATTCGCTTTATTGTCTCTTAACATGATTATACCTACAAAAAGAAAATTGGAGTCAATAGCTTTATAATCACACTTGTGCAAAGTATGATTATAAAGGTTCGCATTTGCATTGAAAATATAAAAAATTGTTAATATATGGTATTTCTGATTTAACAACGTGCAGGTAGGTTCAACTTACTAAGAGTGGAGTGCACTTACAAATATGTGCTTAGAATATATTAGCAATTTTTATATCCTATTCTATATTTCTAACTGCGAAAATTGTGACGATGGATGAATCGACGTTTGTTACCCGTTCGAACAAAAATCGGTAAGATTCGATCGAAATGTAGTTCGTAGAAAGATCATATTCTAGATTAACATGAACTATGTTTTGTAAGATTTAATGCGCGCAGCGCCGCGTGAACAATTGTATTAATTATTATAACTAATTACTTATTTTAAAACAAGTATTATTAGTACCTAGTACCTAGGCTATGATTGCGTCAAAGTATTGTTTAATGTTATTCTGAATAAATTTAATCAAAGCCTACGCCATAAGCCAAATACTATACTATTAATTTGCGATTTCAAAAGTTGTTAAGGTACAAAATAGCATGATTATAAGTAAACATGAGGATTACTGTTATGTTGTTGATGCGCCTTCATACAATAAGCTACGAGTATATGGAGGTTACCGTCGCCGTGTCAAGGGAATCTTATAACCTATAAGCATTCGAATAACCTTTTAATAAATGTTTATTCTAAAATAACGTAGTTTACATTTGCAGTAAAATTATAGAGAATAGCATACGTGATCGCTGTAAAATATAAATATTGATTAGTAAAAAATAACTAGTATCTATGTAAAATACAATTTATATTTTTTATATAATTAATATGTATAATTATATAAATCAAATTATACATATTTATATCCTTAAGTATATTATATTTTTTATAATCTATATTAATGATCTAGATTCTACAACATTTTTAATAATAACATATGGTAGTCATCTAAATTGGACGAAAATATCTTGAGGCGCTTTAACAGTTCCAACATTATTTTGAATTTTTTTTTCATACTTATCTATGATCAAACCATGGGGTCGGTAAAGTTATAATATAGCTTCCAAATCAAATACCTATGTATTTCACACTAGTCTTTTCCTTTATACAATTATTGTAAATAACCCATAATCTATATAATAATATGTTTTATCTATACACTAATATGTTTTATTCGCTGTGGGTTTATATTGCACTAATACATCTACCGACCCTAATATTAAATTTAGTAAACGACAGCAAAATTTTCTGAAACTCACTCCACTGTGATGACTTAAAGTCATTAGATTAGCAAAGTACGAGGGATGAAAGATTGAAACCAGCATAGTTTCCAACACTCTCCAAAATCTTGGCAGCCTTGAATAGTTTGAAGGCGTTGGTAATTAGAGAGGTGAATCTATACAATGACGCACCAAAACGTGTCAATGGGTTTCCGCCAAAGAGCGTACGCTGTTAAAATTACCAACGTTAGTTGGAAATTCATGACTAGAAAGCAGTAAATTAAATATAAACACGCCATAATACATAGCTATGTGACTACACTCAATAAAAAATATACCTGACTAGTAGAAACACTCTCAGAATTGACATATCACATTACAATTTAAATTGAATTTGAAAAACTTTGCTTATTACAATCTTGGGAGGAACATCTTTATAGAATTAAACTTTGTAGCTGTGTTTGTTTCCTGGGCTTCGTAAGAGGTTAGTTTTCTATATTATATAGAAATTCTATGGAAGAATCTTAACGTACATATTCTTCCATAGAACTTTTCTAAAGTATTTATATTCTTTAGTATTTTTTATATTTACGTATTTTTTTTATTTTTTTATTTTATTATTTATTTAATCCTGTTATTTTGTACCAGAGTCTAATAATACTTATAAAAATTGACGGACATTTTTATAGGTATTATTAGATTTTTCAACTCATAAGAAATTTTTTGTATGTATGCACGTTTACCACATGTCGAAGGAACGAGGAGGCATAACACTATACATGGAGGTATACTATACACACTATAGAACCCTTGCCACTTTTCATAAGTAAAAAGATAACATAAAGAAAAAGATGCACAATTGTTTTTGCGTCGAAAAGTTCTCTTTTTGCGGCCATTACTTGATTCTTAGTCTAAGGCATCATAATTCACAAGTGTAGAATCATCTTAAACAATGAAAGCTTTAATACCACCTCGCCTACGTATATAATTTTGATTCCCTTATTCATACACAAAATGAATAAGGGAATCAAAATTATATACGTACGTCGGTTTCCATATTTCTGTACGTCAGCACCGGTTACGAATTTCGCGTCCCCCCTTTTAGAGAACAAATGTTATGGCAATATTACCTTCCAGATCCAGTGCTTTGAACAATAGTCGTAAATCAACCCCAATTGTAGACGCAAGTCATGTGTTCTAAACCTGCACACTAATATTACTCGTTTTACAAAATGGTCGTTTATTGTTACAGAAAATCGGTCGTTTTCGTTCCCAA